TACTTCTTTCATTTTCAGTTCTGTTCTAGTCTTTCATTTTTCACGGTGTGATACCAGAGTTCAGTATAATGATTGAAATTACACATTGAGATATGTACCTCTATAAAAATTAGAGAACTTTGACTAAAGCTGGTAGATCAATGGCTCACTCTAATCCAATGCCCTGATAGAATAGTCTTGTGTTGGTTTGCAATGTTTGTTTCTTTTCCCTTGGTTCATCATGTGACTTGATGTGGATGCAAAATTCTTCAGTGGTGAAAATAGGGTGGATTTTTGGTCTTGTGTTTATGCCCTGTATAGAAGCTAAGGGCTTGGCTACACTTGAGAGTTACAGCGCAATAAAGGAGCCCCGGGCGCACTAGCTCACTACCCGTCCACACTGGCAAGGCACGTAGAACTCTCTGACTCCGTGGCTACAGCGCTGCTGGTACTCCACCTCGGCGAGTGGAATAACGTTTGCTGCGCCCCCGCTGAAGCACCGCGGCGCCAGTGTGGACGAGGTGTTGCATTACTGCGCTCTGATGAGCCTCAGGAAATGTCCCATAATTCCCTTAAGTCAAGTGGCCTCTCTTCTCATTGTTTTGAACTCGCTGTAGGAATGCAGATATGCCGTTTGAATGCTCCGTTTCTGACAGCCAGCTGCTTATCTGCTCCAAGACAGATAAGTGTGCTACGAGAGAGAGATTAGTGTGGAATGGTGAGTGAGTGGAGTGGGGGGGGGGGGAGAGTCTGCTGCTGTCTCAGTGGTTTGAGCATTGGCCTGCTAAACCCAGGGTTGTGATTTCAATCCTTGAGGGATCTGGGGAAAAAATCTGTCTGGGGATTGGTCCTGCTTTGAGCAGGGGATTAGACTAGATGACCTCCTGAGGTCCCTTCCAACCCTGATATTCTATGATAGTTATATGGATAAAAATTCAATTTAAAATGCACAAAAACTTACAAGACAGTATGCTGACATGCTCTCAGCCCCCCCAAAACCCACTCTCTCTCCCTCCACATACACACAACACACTCCCTGTCAAACTCCACCCCACCCCCCCATTTGAAAAGCACGTTGCAGTCACTTGCATGCTGGGATAGCTGCCCATAATGCACCGCTCCCAATGCCGCTGCAAGTACCGCAAATGTGGCCACACCAGTGCACAAGCAGCTGTCAGTGTGGACAGACTGCACTGCTTTCCCTACTGCACTCTCCGAAGGCGGGTTTAACTCATAGCCCTCTACATCTGCAAGTGTAGCCATGCCCTAAGGAAAGTCCCTGCATGTGAGCTAGTTTCCATACAGGGTATAAACACATGACAAAGAAACATTGCGAAGCCTGCACCCACTGCAAGGGATTCCATCTGGAAGTTTGGCACAAAAATCTCTTCCTTCTCTCTTCCTCCCTCCAAACATTGGAGGGAATGATCTGGCTGAGGGGAGTAATGCAACAGAATTAATCATCAATTTAGAGAGAGAAATCTCTATTTACAAACTGATGAAAACTAATTGTTGACTTTCCTATCTAAATATAAATATGCCACTCCTCTTCAAGGATCCATTCATAGCCTCTGCCGTGTGCATTAAAGACTAGGGTATGGGTTATTCATAGTTTGCACACCCTCCTCTGTCCACTGTGCCTCACCTCCCACACATGCCGCATTCCCCACCACAAGTTTAAGTGCCTAAAGATACGCTAACTTCTTGTCTCTAGACAGATTCATCACAACCCATCCAGAGGACAGATGGTAGTGCAGAATTTTATATATAATACAAACAGTGTTCTTTACCTCGTCTCTTGTTCTGGTTTGTGAGTTTTAAATTTGTGGTTTCTTTGTTTATAATTGGTTGTATCTAAGAAACATAGGGAAGCACCACTAACTGTGGGGAAGTTCTAAAGTGGAGCTGTAGCATGTCCCAGTCCAATTTATAAACGTCCCCTATATGTGGTCCTCCCCTTCTTTTCAGCTTCTTGCCCATGCCAACAAATATGCCTTTGACTCCTATCTTTGCCAGCCTCTCCAGGGACAGGTTTCCCTTCCTGAAGGAGGGGCAGCATAAGGTGAATTGATTTAAATAATCAATTTTAATCATGATTTAAATCAGCCAACAGGAAACCTTGATTTAAATCACTGATATATCTTTTTTTAATCTTGTTTTGCATTTGTACTTTTTAACTGTTTTCCTAATGAAAGGTTTATTCTTGTTGACTAACATTTTGGTTTGCAACTGAATATCCCTTTACAATAAATTTTGCTTCTTTTTGCTAACCAGGAGGATATACTGTATCTATACACATTATTTAGGCAGTTATGTAGCTTAACTCACATTTGTTCAGCTTCTTAATTTTTACATTTTTATTAGGAAATTGTGAATGATGCATTTATTTACTAGATTAATTTTTTTACTTGCGATTTGTGTCAAGCTCTATTTGGATAGAAGCTAAAAAATGCAATTAAAAGTGCACAAAAACAGCATTTTATCTTTTTATTCGTTAAATAAAACTACGGTACCTAATGCTGGATATATAAAGTTTAACAAAACATGTTTTGCATTTAAAACTAATTCAATTATTAAACAAATGAAGTATTATCTTTAGTTAGGCATGTGACCAGAAACAGTTCAATTCACTATCAGGATTTTAGAACTAGTAGACCACCGTCAAGGTGGCCTTGAGACCTCTGTCAGAGCCTAGCCATCCTGACTTGGCACTTTGGCTGAGTGCTTTGACATTGGTCAGGAGTATGCCTGAGACCCGGCACTGCTCGCCTTCCCCACTGCCTAAGAAGAGGCATAAGACCTCTAGACAGGCCGGTTGCTGACACTGATCCTCTGTAAGCTTGGGGTTAAAAGTAGAGTGCAGCCAAAACTCAAGCACTCCTTTTCTCTGGTAGCACCGAAACTGGCACTGTTGAGTCTTGGTCCCGAAAGGGTGAGTGATAGGGTGTTTGAAGGGCTGGGTGGCCTAGCGGTTAGCACACCTGACTTCTGGTCCCTTGCTTCCCTGGCTGAGGTGCCTGGTTCCTGACCTTAAGTTGGGAACCTTCTGACCTCTGCTTGCATCTGGGCCTCGGCCCTTAAGGAGGGGTGGTAGGGAGACCTGGGCTCTCTCTCTTCACTGATTTCCAGCCCAGGGCCCTGTATGAAGCAATGCTGGCAAGTTCCTCTTGCCAGGGAGTCTAAGTCCACTGCCCTGTGCTACTTCCAACCTATTTCCTTCAGTTTGAGGCATGGCCCCAATAATCCAAACAGTTTTTGTAGTGGCTTGTGTGGAGTAGTGCCCTCTTGTGGACCTTTCGTTGGCGTTCTGCTGTGGACTCGAGTCCTTCTGGGCAGAGCAGATATAAGATTGGAGGGGTTTAGCCCCATAATTTCTTTATTGTACAGTTCACTCAGTGCTGGGTTCTCGCCAGTCTCCTCAGCAGTCTCTCTTGGTCAGGGACACAGTGCTTCTCCCTCCAGCGGCTGTCCTGGCTGTCAGGCTTGTAGTGATGCTCCCCTCATGTAGAAAGACAGAGCTATCTCCTGCCTCTTTGCTAGTCAGCCTTAAACTGAGCCAGATTCTCTCCTTTTCTTCCTCCTTCAGGCCAGGCACTGGCCCAAGATGTAGCGGTGTGGAGCTAGCTGGGCTCATAGGCTCTCTTTTTAACCCTTTTCATGCTGGTGTGAGTTTTCTCAGCTTCATCACAGGGCGTCTTCTACATTTGTGGTACCCCAGTGACCTGAGATCATCCTGGTACTGACCACACTGGAGGCATTGGCAGCAGCAAGAGATTTGCTGAGCCTATCGGTAATGTTATTCCTGGCAATGCAGGAGACCGTGCTTCTGGTACCAGCAGTTAAAGGGGCTCTGACATACCAGGGTGCAATCCAGATTAATGGGGATGGTGTCACCCTTGCCTCGCAACCTAGAGTGCCTTGCAGTACCTTACTGTTGTATCTCTCAACCTGGACCGCTCACAGCCTTCATCACGCAGGTCACTCCTAGATGTGTTTGTGTAATTGTAGCTGCCCGTCACACTCTGGCTCTCACCAGTCTGGGTTATACTTCAGGATGACCGCAACACTCTCCCAGTCCCAGATTTCCCCCCAGAAATGTGTTTTGTACTGCCCAGGCCTCTCTTGGACAGTCCAAATATATTAAGTCCATTATTCTTATAAGGGAATAATATACAACAGCTTGCCACCCTAAATGGAGTTACCCAGACACTTCAATTTAAACACACTGGATTAGATAAAACAATAAAACAAGTTTAATAACAACAAAGAGATTTTGAGCACAGGTAATGAGGCATAAAGATCAGAAATGGTTACAAGAAAAATAAAAATAAAACTTTCTAGTGCCCAACTTAAAAACTACATTAGAGTCAAAGCGAAGTTTCTCACACATACTTCTAGCAATATTACTGACCCACCTTCAGGTCAGCGCCCCTCCCTCAGAGTCTAATGGCTGCTTCTTTTGTCTTCTCAAGTGCAAAGTGTGCAAGAGACAGGAAGAAAGAGGAGAGGTTCTCTTGGGGTGCTTGTTCCTCCTTTTTATAGTTTTAGTCCCCCTCTTGAAAAGCATTTCCAGCTGAGAACCAGAAGACAAAAAGTCTGTGTGGAAGGATGTTCCCTGCTGGGTTTTTTTTTTCTTTTTTTTCCACCTGAGTGAGCTTCCTTTGTTTTCTCCTTTCTCCCTTGCTGCTTGATGACTTTGTTCATTGCTTAAATGCAAATTAAGACAAGCATACCCTCCTTTGTTGAAGACAGGTGTGTTTGAGTAGTTTGGTGCTACGTGAGTCTGAACATATATTTTTAACATTATATGCAGGGAAACTTTTAACTATACACATAATACGTCTACACACATTATACTGTGATATTACTGATCAGCAAGTTGAGTTTTCATATACCTCACAAGGTATACGTTGTACAAGGATTATTACAATAGTGTGTAGGTATGAATACAGGAGTGCATTCCATCACAGGGTCCAGTGTTGGTGCAGTAATCGATACCATGTCAACCTCCTGTGTTTCAGACTTCACACCCATCTGCACTGTTGAAGGGGAAGCCTGCAATCTTGGCTGCACTATACTCTTTCCCAAGTCGGCACCTGTCTCAGGTACCATCGGCAGCAGCCTCCACTGTGACTGGGTGCAACCTGGAACTGGGGTACTGCTCTCGCACTGAGATGCTGTGACAAGCTGCAAACCTCTCCAGGTACTGCACTTACATAGCCATCCACAGGCATGGACACACCCAGCTGAGTTATATGAATGCTTCCCCAGCCACTCATGAACGAACAATAGAGAGGCTCCAGCCAATTTCCCCAGCCTAGGACCCCAGGGCTGTATTGTCCTGCCTTGGTCAGAAGCCTGACCAGTGTAAGTTTATTACCTAGTCCACCCCTACCTCAATGTGGAGAGAACATGCATGAGCTTTTTACACTGAGCAGATTCCCCAAGCACTTCAACCAAAATACTGTTTAAGGTAAAATATAAAACAGATTTATTAACTACAGAAAGATTTTACATGATTATAAGTAGTAAGTGTACAGATCAGAGTTGATTACCTAAGAAATAAAAGTAAAATCGCAACCTGAGTTCTATAAACTAGACAAGATTTGAATCAAGCAGTAAGTCCCGCCCTGATGGTATAATACACAAGCTAGAATTCTCCTTTTCAGCCTGGGACCACCTCCCCAGTTCAGTCTTTGTTCTCCAGACTGTTTCCAGGTGTTGAGTTGGGCGCAGGGAGGGGGAAGAGGCCCAGTGATGATGTCACTTCCCCTCTTTTATAGTTTCTTTCAGCTTGCTGGAAACATCTATGCTTGTGATTGGGTCAAGCAGTCTCCATTGTCTACGTGCTATCTCTGAGAAGTCTTTATTATATACGGTTCTTGGGAATGTGGATTCCTTTAATTGGCCATCAGAAGTCAGGCTCCTCCATGGTTGCACCTGAAAGGCTGGTTGTGGGTGTTCCCAACCTTACAACATATTTCAGTAACACACACATAGCAAAACTTCATAACTTTCCATACAGTGATAGCACATACAATCCAACAAGATATTAATGTTCAACAGATCAACTTTTAAAATGATACCTCACAAGGCATGCTTTGTACAAAACATATCATAATTATATGACAGTGGTGAATATAGGGTTTCCAGTGTGCTGCTTTGAAGCATAGCGTGCTACATCCCCTTGGTTAGCAGAGGGTGATTCATCCTCCCCTGAATTGGAGATTGGCTCCTATGTTTCCTTGCCTTGGGGCTGGTTATGCTACTCCTCACCTAGGTGTTATTACCCTGAGGTTGCTTTGGGATCCTCCAGCTGGAATGGGATTGGGCATGTGGCCATGACCAGTTCAGTGGTCCTTTAAAAACACCTGGATTTCTAGGTCTTACTCAAAGCATTCCTTTTCTGTATCATCAGAAAGGCATGGAGAATCTACTCACCAGGCGCTGCCTTTTCTCTAGTCTGGTATTGGGCCTGCTACCAAGCAGGAAAAGGTGGTTCAGGAGAAGTCTGTTGGACAGCTAGTGGAGGAGTGGCAGCCTCAACCCTGTGCTGGCATCCTCCTCCCTTCAGAGGCACCTCACTCACTTCCAATTATTATTATAGAGCTCACCAAGAGCTATTGGAGAGGGTTGCTTCTGATTTGGAGATACAGGTGGAGGAGGTTAAGGAGTCCTCCCATCACCTTTCTGATATTTTGGCCACCACTGGGATGCCTTACTTAATGGGCTGCAAAATCATCTCACTAATAAGTTGCTCTGGTAGACTTCTTTGTCCCTTCCTCCCATCTCAAAAAGTTCTGAATGTAAATATTATGTTCCCTCTCAGGGGCATGGGCAGTGGGTATAAGAGGCCAGGGGAGGCTAAGCCTCCCCAAACAGCTGGCCTGCCACCTTTGGAGCATGCTGCCACCAAAAGGGCGTCCTGGCTGTGGCCCTGCCTGTGCTCTGCCCCGAGGCCCCATTCCCACTCATCCTCTTCCTGCCTGAGGCCCCTCTCTGCCTCTTCTCATCCCCGCTCCACCCGCATGGGGGCATTGGGGGAGGGGGCGAAGAGGCACATGGGGGTGGTGAGTGGTAGGCAAGGAGGAGGAGGCCGAGTGGGAGTGAGCCTCGGGGCAAGGCCATGGTCTGGGCGTGCCCAGCCTCTCCAAATGGAGGAGTCACTCGCTGCCTATACCCAGGGGGTTGACTGACTATATTCCTGTTTCGCCCTGGGTTTTTTGATGGCATCAGCGACCAGTGAAAGGAAATAACAGGGCTAACAGGTGGCAACCCCCAAATCAAAGGATGCTAAAAAATTAACTTAGTAGAAAAGTTTATTCTACTGTGGGGTTGCAACTCAGGATTGCCAACCAACAAACTCTTTTGAGTGTTATGATTGTAATATTTGGGACTCCTTGTTAAAGTTTAAGGACATGTTGCTGGAGGGCACTACGCAGGAGTTCTTCACTTTAGTTGATGAGGGGAAATGAGTAGTGAGAACTTGGCTGCAGGCTGGACCAGATGTGGAGGACTCAGCTGCTAGGACCATGGCTTCTGCGATTTCCACGTGCAGGAGCTCTTGGCTTCAGTCCTCAGGGCTTCTGCATGAGGTTCAACAAACAATTCGACTTGCCCTTTGAGGGCAAACAGCTTCTCAACTCCATGGGGTGAAGGATTCTAAGGCAACTTTAAACTTTTTGGGATTGTATACTCCTGCCCCATCCAGGAAACACATTTTCACCCACAGCAGATCCATTGGTACTCTGCCCCTGCTCCTTGCCAGGATCTGCAAAGAAAGAAAAGTAGAAGTTATAGACGCGGCCATCTCCTCCTCCTGCTTCTACATCAATGCCTTCTCCATCTAGATACCCAGGGATTCTAAACAGGTGATTTGATGGGTTGATTGAGGACGCTTTACCAGTTTCCAGGATGCCAGAGTCCATCTCCCCCTGTTCGCAAACAGTTTGTGCCACTTCCTCCGTGCTTGCTCCTGGATTACTTCAGACTGATGGGTCTTAAGCACTGTGGAAGTGGTATATACCCTCCAATTTGTTTCTCCTCCTCCCTTCCATACTCCCTCCCCTCTTCAGGGACCATTCTCATGAGGAGCTCCTTTTCCAGGTTCATTCTTTCCTTCTGGTAGAAACCATAGAGGAGGTTCTTCAGTGTCACAGATGGGAGGGGGTTCTATTTCTATTTCCTAATCCTGAAAGCAAAAGGAGGTCTCAGATCAATTTATACTTGTGCCAGCTAAGCAGATATCTCATAAAGATAAAGTGTTGCATCGTCACCCTGGCTTCCGTTATTCTGTCCCTGGAGACTGGTATGCCACTCTCAACTTAAATCACCACATGAAAGTAGGCACTTTATCAAGGTCACAAAGTATCTCAGATTCATAATGAAGCATGCTTATTGCCAGTTCACCGTGCTGCCATTCGGCCTGTCAGCATCTCCTCAGGTTTTCACAAAATGTATAACAGTAATAGCAGGTTTACTGAGGATGCTACGGGTGCAAATCTACCCTTATTTGGATGACTGGCTAGTCAGAGGCTAGTCCAGGGCTCAGGTACTGTCCAGTTTGTCTATCATCCAGTCAACTCTCAAAGAACTGGATCTACTGATCAATTTAGAAAAAAATCTATCCCACATCCAGTTCAGAGGATAGAGTTTATAGGAGCAGTCCTGGACTCTACTCAGGCCAGAGCTTTCCTTCCTGACACAAGGTCCCAAACGATTTGATTTCTTGCTGTAGATCTCCAGGCCCACCCAGTCAGAATAGCTCGAAACTGCATGAGGCTCCTGGGGCATATGGCCACATGCACATAGGTAGTCCGGCATGCCAGACTACATCTCAGATTTCTTTAAAGTTGGCGAGCCTCCGTTTATTCTCCAGGTCATCACTATTTGAGCTCTGTGCTGAACAAGTCCTCTCGCATATTCACTTCTCTTGATAGGTGGACAGACCCATTCAGTGTATGGGTAGGCATTCTGTTTGCTCTCAACCTTCATAAGAATATAAAGATGGCTATACTGGGTCAGACTAATGGTCTGTCTAGCCCCGTAACTAGTCTTCTCACAGTGGCCCGTGCCAGATGCTTCAAAGGGAATGAACAGAACAAGGCAATTCTCAACTGATCCAGCCCCTGTCATCCAATCCCAGCATCTTGCAATCGGAGGCTTAGGGACACACAGAGCATGGGGTTGCATCCCTGGTCATCTTGATTAATAGCTATTGGTGGAGCTAGCCTCCATAAACCTACCTAGTTTCTTTTTTGAACCCAGTTATACTTTGGCGTTGACAACATCTCCTGGCAACAAGTTGCACCCATTGACAGTGTGTTGTGTGAAGAAGTACTTACTTGTGTGTGTTTGTTTTAAATATGTGGCCTATTAATTTGATTGGGTCACCCCTGGTTCTTGGTTTATGTGAAGGGGTAAATAACACTTCCTTATTCACTTTCTCCACACCATTCATGGTTTCATAGACCTCTGTCATATCCTCCTAAGTCATCTCTTTTCCAAGCGGAACAGTCCCAGTCTTTTTAATCTCTCCTCATATGGAAGCTATTCCATGTTCTTAATCTCTTTTGCCCTTCTCTGTACATTTTCCATTTCTAATATATCTTTGTTTGAGATGGGGCGACCAGAATTGCACTCAGGATTCAAGGTGTGGGCATACCATGGATTTATATAGCAGCATTATGATATTTTGTCGTATTATCTATCCCTTTCCTAATGGTTCCCATTGTTCTGTTAGCTTTTTTTTTTTTTTTAAACTGCCACGGCACATTGTGGGGATGTTTTCAGAGAATTTTATCCACAATGACTCCAAGATCTTTCTTGAGTGGTAGCAACTGCCCCATCATTTTGTATGTACAGTTGTGATGGATTTCCAATATGCATTACTTTGCATTTATCAGTACGAATGTCATCTGCCATTTTGTTGCCCAGTCACCCAGTTTTGTGAGATTCCTTTCTAACTCTTTGCAGTCTGCTTTGGACTTATCTATCTTAATTTTGTATTGTCTGCAAATTTTGCCGCCACACTGTTTACCCCTTTTTCCAGATCATTTATGAATGTATGTCATGCTGTATGGAGTGGCTCATGACTGTGAGTGCCTACTTCAAAAAAGCAGGGCAGACACTCCAAACATGGTTGTATTTTCTATATTTAGATTTCATCAAGCCAGTAACAAGTGTAAACTCCTAAAATACTAT